AATCACATATTGCAAAGTAGCTTTTTGGTCGATCTTGATTATCTTACATTTTATGACCAGGTTCAAATTAACTTTTTACACTCATCAATTATTTTATTTTACAAATTTATCCTGCTTACTACCTAGAAATCTTTGGCAACAAATAACAATGAATTTGGGAGCACTCTAGGAAAACCGGGTTTCGAGACTTTTGGTCAAAAAAAATTTTTTTGCATAATATTAAACTATAACATCATGACTATAATTGTGAAAAAATTAGATGTGGTTTAATTAGTACAAAAATAAATTCTTGGGGTAACCAAAATTTTATTTGAATCGAATTTAACAGCCCATGCGGACAATTTCTGAAGGTTACACCTTTATCCCTCAGTTCGTAGGGATAAAGCCTCAGCCTGGGAAATCATATAAGAGGGATATCCCCCCTTATCAATCTTATTGATCTTTGGATAACGATTGGATAATTCACTCAAGATCTATGGACCAGATGATCAGAGATATATCCGTGTATTTATATTTATCCCTCGCCAGGCTAAAGCTGTATCCCTCTGAACACAGGGATAAAGGTGTGACCTACCCGGAAATCGTTCGCATATGGTGGAATTTAAAAATCAAAATTTAAAAAAAGCAATGATCTACATACTGCACATTTCATAATTAATTTAATAAATTTAATAGTCACGGAGACCCCATAGAGTGTTATTAATTCATAATTTTTATTACGCTTGTCATGAGTATTAATTTACCATTTTGAGTATCTAATAAAGTATTTGATTGTTTAAAAATCATTATGTAAAATTAATTAGGATTGGGGCAAAGTATATCTCTAAATTTTGGGTCTACATGCCGACGAATTTTGTTATACCAATAAATTTTTCTATCTTTTGTTAACGGAGCAACCTCAAGTAGGGTTAATTGATTATTTTTATCAAAATCATCATTTTTAAAAGTTTAAAAGAAGTTTCTGTGCCACCTGATTTTTTGGAAACATAAACTTTTCCAATATCATTTGGTAAACTACTGAAATGAAAATGATAATATTTTGTTATATTTGGAAGGCTTCGAAAATTCCCTTCAAATAACAATGTAAAATTATACCAGCTCCAATTCAAGCCATTACTATATCTAACAGGCTTATTACATTCTGCTGAATCATTTATCACCTTTTCAACATCATCAACTCTTTATAATCCTATTTTTGTATTTACTCTTAATATATCCAAAATTTGCATCACATATGAATTTGTATGCCCAGGAATCATAAAATTAATCATCAATTAATTTTTAAAGATGAATACATACTTCGTATATTAATTAATAGTTAAACCCTGGGTAGTACAGGTATAAGTTCAATTTTATGAAGTAAAATTGAGCTTAAACTTGTATTATCCCAGTGGTTTAACTGATTTATCCCCCACCATTTATGCCATTTTTACATGTAACTTTTTCCACTATCAAGAAGATTTGTTGGGTGGTAATAACAAATTAATTTGTTCTTTTCTAAAATTTGTATATTTCATCTTGCTTTGTGGAATATTACACTGCTCCACCATTATCATTAATATTACTAAAAAACTATTACACATTCTAATAACAATGGTAATTTT